TATGCACTCACTATATTTCCACCACTGGTGAGGAAAGTAAATGAGAAATCAATCAAACACTTAAGCTTCATTTCATTGTGTAAGAGCAGTGATCCATCACTGGGTGTTATGGTCTGAGACAGCCTCTGCTCCTCTGCATGCTGCAGGACTGCTGATGGGAAGAAAAAAAAACTACACACACACGTAGTCAAACACACACACAGGATGTAGACTGAAATATCAAAAGGTCAGCAGACAGGCAAGAGGAGAGACTGGGGTCGTTGTACGACAGGCTGGGCCTTTGAGCTCTCTGTCCCTTAGTGTTTGTCTGTGTGAAATCAAGGACACAACTGGAAATCATAAACAGGGCACGATGTCTATGTTTGACCATGCATATTGTAGAAGCCAGATGTTCCTTCCAATTCCTTTGGTTCCTAAACCATCATTCAGTCTCAGTCATCATAAAGCCAAAAATTCAACTACAGAATTATGATGGCAGGGATTATATGGAAAAATACTTAAGCCTCTTAGTAAGAGTGCATTTTATCAGTGGAAATCATTTGACTATATATATACGTACTTTTAAATAAATGATGCCAGAAATTAACTGACTGCCAAGGATCTTTTAATTTATTCATGAATATGTGTAGAATGTGCATTAAAAGCTGCAATTAATCCTCCTTTGATTCTGCATCATGTTAACGTGTGATTTCTTCACACAGAAGTCGTGTCATGTAACAATTAATATTTCAGTGCATCAGTTGAATACCAAGAACAGGCAACTTTTCTCTGTCTGTCCACCATTTTAGTCCTCAGTCAGAGCAGAGAGAAAGCAACACGTCACAACTACACCACAGTGCCACACAATGGTCAGGAGAGAAAAAGCATAATGGAGGCAGATTAATTAGAGGGATAATTACAAAAATTTAGCTTATGTCTTAACAAAGTAGGAAGAAGGTTGTTTTCTCCCTTGTCTGCTTGTTTGGAAAATATCAAAATATTTCAACAAATTTGGTTGAAAGGCAAGACAATCGTTGGCCAGGGAACCAGCTGATTAGATTTTGGTGATGATCAAGATGTGGGTTTTCTATCATTTAACAGTGTTCATGTGCTGCTGAGAAAGTCCAACACACAACTACCAAGTTTGGGCCCTACACAACATAGCATCATACTAGTTCAAACCTCAAAAGGCAAACAAACAACAAGCAAACTGCAGCAGACTTTTCTACTGCAAAACCTGCATCCAGTCAGTCACATGATTTTCTGTGATGTTTCCCTCTAAGTCACATTCAAATGCAGACAGTTACTCAACTCTCCTCTGTTGGGAATGAACAGTTATAGATCAGAAAAGGATATAGATGGATAAATGATATATCAATTATGCACATGGTGAGGATGTGTGTCAAACTTATGCAAATTAATTCCACCTTAAAGTTCAAATATGGGTGTGAGATAATGGTTAAGAATGTTGGTTAATTGATGACCACGGTTTCCCTTGTAGAAGACTGGAGGACTGTGTTTGCAGCTTTTTGAGCAGCAAAGGGAATCGAGTACTGAATGAGAGCTAATTAGTGAGGAACAGAGTGATGTATTGCTGGAGGAGGGGTGGTTTGTATTCCTTAGGCTGGAGGGAAAGTGGCCCCACACAGATCCTCCCCAGTATAATGCAAAGTTACTTTTAAATGTTATATGAAAATGTATGCCTCTAGATCAGGATATCTTATATCTCTATGGTCTTTTATTAGAACAATTTTTTTTTGTCTTCCTGGAAATAGCTTCTTTTTTTTTGTCCACATTGTCCCTCCAGCACTATGTTCCACCACTTAAAACATTATCCAAATGCTACTTTATCAAGACATAAGTAACAAACAAGATATTGTGGACTGAATTGTATCAACCCTATAAGATCAATAGTCCAGGTCAAAGAATGGAGCCTCTTGTCATATAATGTCAAGATATGAAAAAATAGCAAAACAACCAATTAATTTTAGTGATTCAAAAGTAGAATAAAAGGGGCACACAATCAAAGCAAACAATGCCTGCAGAGCTTTCCATTTTATTAAAATATCATTGCTACAGCAGATGTGTTCTTGTATTCCTTGTCCTCTATTAGGAATGTGCATTGCAATCACTGAGGCTGATGCGATACGCATCTTGTTGCAATCCAATACATTACAGATAAGTATAAAGCAAGGACTAATGCAAAATGATTTTACAATTATTATTACAATGCAGTGTGATACAGTGCTAATATGATGAATATGATGCTATGCAATTCAAAATGGTACAGATAGTTTGAATTGTTTTCTTTATTTGGTTCTTCTTAAGCATCTTGAGGAACAGAGGAGGAATCAATCTAAATATAAAATAAAATTATTGGTCTTAGTCACAGGTCATAGGGCCTCTACTAATAATAATACAATAAATAGTTTTTTTCTTATACAAAGATGTTAATCAAAATTATATTTGATGCACACTTTTTTTAATGGGAACAATCACATCTTAAAGTTTTATGCCAGTGCACAGTGAATCTTACCCTATTCTCTATAGGATTGTATTTTGTTTAACTTTCTGAGCCTGGATCTATGTTTCTGTCCCTTCACTTACCTCTTGTGGCTATCTGAGTGTTTACAGCCCTTTGGGTGTGGTCTGCTACACACGTGTGTTGAATTAGAAGATCGCCTTGTATGTAAGTGATTTGCTGTTAAAACTAGGTGTGCTCTGAGGAGAGCTTATGGAAGAAACGTGATGATATTTAAATAAAATTCTCTACAGGCATTGTTTGCTTTGATGATGTTCCACCTTTTTTCAACTTTTGAAATTATTTATGATTTTGAGGGTGAGCTTTTTTCAAAATGTTTGTTTGAATGTCTCTTTTGTGTGAGACAGTGTATTTTAATTAGTGTTTCCTACAGTCAAGTCTTTTTTATTAGATATCAAACTGACTCGAGTGTGACTCATAAATAAGTCAAAACGCTCCAAAGTTGATCTCACCCTTCCCAGCAATCATACATGTGCATGCTGTGTGGAGACAGCAAGGATATAGAGTATCTGTATTGATCGTTGTTTTTCGCTTCCCTCCATTATAAAAAATAAATCCTGTGCACATCTTGTTTCAGTGGCTGTGAACTGGGAGGAAGGTAGCCAAAAAAAGAACAATAATAAAAAATAGTCTGTTGATCCCCGCTGTATGAAATAAGTAGGAGTGTGATAGCTTATTGGGCGGTAAACAATGCAAGCCATATAAAATCTCTTCTGGGCTTTATTCTTATGGTACCAAATTACCAATATAGTTTCCTCTGGATAGGAATGCCCAGCTTGGTGTTTATGTGTGTGTATTTGATGGGTCTGTGCCTATGTGTGCCTGTGTGTATTAGTGTGTTTACGCATCTTTGTGCTTGTTTGTGAGCCTGTGCCCGTCTAGAAAAAAATTACGTTCCATAAAACGTCTCCATAAACGGCATGGCACAATAAATCCAAGGCAGAAATATTAAGTGGAACCAATATTTTGCTGGACCCACTCCAGATTCCTAGTAAAAATCACGAGTCGGGATGACCTTAGCATTAAAAAAATATATTTTACAGGGGGAAATAATCCAATTCCCTCCCAATGAAGGCATCACTGACATGGAGCTATCTGTGCTGTGCACCTGGGCCTTTCCACTGAGAGGTCATTTAGTACACATTCTCTCTTTTAGGGAGAGCTCCATTAAATACACCATGAATATCCAAGCAAAAAGGTATTTTGCAAAGTTGAGAAAAAAAGGAAACGATGGCAAAAAAAAAGAAGGAAAAAAAGAGTGCTGCAACATGTGGCTGTGTTCTAAGAAGGGAGCCTCCCATATGTGCAGAGAGACTAAGCAGTGAAGCTACAAAGGAAGCATGTTCAAGGACACCTGTTTCTCAGAGGGAGCAGTTTGTGAGAAGCATCTTGCCTGTGCAACGCTGCAGCAGCCATGTGTAAATGCAAGGAAGGGCACAAGATCCCAATGCAGCCCCCCCAGCTCCACATAGAGCCACAATGGACTCCAGAATGTGATGACGACATGTTAAAAATTTGATGAAGTCCTAAGATGACACAATGTGACTGTTGACTTAGAAAATGATAACATAGAATATGAAGCATTCCTTTATTATATTTTTTTAAAAGCCAAACTCGATCACTTATTAATCAAAGAAAACATGCAAAAGGGAATTTATTATACTGCAGAATATTCCCCCAATTAGCCTTACAGCATCAGCATAACGTCTGTGATCCTAGTAGTAGAAACCACAGAGGACCCCAGAACAAATTCATCTGCATGGAAGATCCACCTAACCTGAATCCACTCTGCATTTCTCTTTACAATTATGCTAAGGAATGCACTGAGCCTCTAGCAGTTCAGTACAGTTATCTGCCAAAACCCTCTGGAAACTGGTGTACATTGCTCAAGAAGTTGTCATTATGAATTTGCTTTACTGTTAGATTATCTCCTTTAGAAAACTAATTTCATATTAGGGTAATTGCCTCTGGTGGGGTTATGCTGGGCTGTTGTGTTGAAAAAAAAATAAAATGCTGATGAAGAGGACGGGGGAGAGAAAAAGTCATGCTGGCCCTCCCTCCCTATTTCTGTCTCTCAGTCAGATGAGGTCATCAAACACCAACCTGCTTTGTATATTAATGATGTAACAGCCAGGGATTTTTGGACACCCCGTCCCCAGAGACTGCTTGGCTGGAGGCAGAGGAAGACTTCATCTTGATTTAAGAGAGAGATAACACCCTCGATAGAACTGTGACAAAGGCTAGATAGGCAGTGTGAGAGCAGATAGCGAGGGAGTGTAAGATGCCAGCAGAGAGGAGAAGACAGGAGAGGAGCGAGGCAGAGGAGGGACAGCGCGATACACTGTGCCTTTAAAGCACCAAGCCCCTCCCTCCACAGAGCCGAGCAGAACAGCCGAGTGGTGCTGGCAGGAGCCTGAGCCCCACGATAAACTCTGGCATCAGCTTCCCTTCATCCGGCAGTCAGCGAGGACACAGTGAGGGCGCAGGGGCAGAGAGACGGGGACGGAGAAAGGGAAAGAGCAAGAGTGACAGAAAGGGGGGGGGGAAGAGAGTGAGAGTCGAAAAACAGGCAGATAGAGAGGGAGAGGCTGTCATAGGAATCACACAGCTCCTTTTTCACAGCAGCAGCTCAGCCGTTTCTGTCCACTGCCTCCAGATGCAGGCGAATGCTGATGGGGATGATGGGTGGCGTGTTTTCGGCAGCACAGTTATCTGAGTGATGGTAGCAGCCGCGGTGGCATCACAACCCAAAGCAGGAGCTCTCCTCGCCGCTCTGGCTGTTAGTCATCTTTCAGCCTCCTCTCTCCCTTCTCAGAGTGCTATCAGGGCCATTCATCGTTCCCATCTCATGCCTCCTGCCTCCTCCTCCTCCTCCTCTTCCTCCTCCACAGCTTCATCCTCCACTTCTACTCCTCCTCTGATGAGCCAAAGCCTCAGAGTGAAATAACCCTGCTGATAGAAGCTTCTCTCTCTGTCAAGACAGTAAGTAGGGGAGGGAGGGAGATAACTGTGTGTTTGTATGTGTGTGTGTGAGGGAGAGAGAGAGAGGGAGAGAGTGTGTGTATGTGTGAGAGAGAGACAGATAGAGAAAGAGAGGAAGAGAGAAGAGCAAGGCGGCGAGAAGAGAAGATGTTAGTGTGTGCGACAGAGGGACTGCTAAAGAACCAGGGGGTTGTGTGTAGCTTGAATGATCCTGCTGTGCGTGGACAGTGAGCTCTGGGCATAGCAACAGCAAAGTGATAAAAGAAAGGTGAGTAGGTGTGTGTTCTGGTGTGTGTTCATGTGTGTGGAGGTGAGGCAAGTGCTGCTGAAGCAAGAGATTCATGTAAACAGCAGCAAAAGAAATGTCAACGCAGTTAATTCCTGTCCATCTCCGACTCACCCTCACTCTCATTTCTGTTTCTTTTCTAATGCTGCTATCTTTTTCGGGAAAGAGTGGAGGGGGTGGTAGAAAGGAAGGGAGGAGAGACATGAGAGAATAAGTGATTGCTTTCCTTCCCATCTGTCCAGGTGCCATGTGTGATTGGCCAGCGTACCCCGTGGCAGTGGCATCGCCCTGGATTTGGCGAGAAGCTCTCCCCCCTGCTTGTTCTCTGGGGCTCCTCTGGGAAGCTTTCATAGGATTTATCTCGTCCTGCTGGATGGCACAGAGCCCTCTGCCTCTCTGAAAAGAGTCCACAGAGAAAACATACACTACACGGATAAGAAGTAAAATAATTATCCAATCACAGCACAAGGAGGCAGACCAGGGTTCCCTTAGCAACAACTGAAGGAGAGAAGAGAATCCTTTTCTCTTTCTGCTCCCTTGGTTTTTGGGCACACCCCTGTGGACTGCTGTGGGTCAGTGTTTTCTGAGAGGACTTGGATAGCGCCGTTGCATAAGACAAGCTGCCACCCAAATTCCAGGGGAAGGTGCTCGCTCGCCCTCCAGCCCCCCTCGTAACTGTGTCTAATCAACACCACGATTTTTTTGTTATCCCTCCACAAATTCTCATCACAAGTCACGTTCCGCTGCCTTGGAAATCAATTCATTCTGATCCCACGCCACCTGGAATAAGCCCTGCTTTGGGGGGAGATTGGACGCTCTGTGAAAAGACCCACACCTACCTTCCTCCCTTTCATGGACGAGAAATGAAGGACAACACGAGCAAGTCGTCATCTGCAAAAAAGAAATGGATGTGAAGCAGTTTCAAGCAAGTTTATTTTGATGAGAGTTTCTACTGACAATCTTTTTATTTTTCCTGGAAGAGAAAACGCCACACTGCACAGAGGAATATCCCATTTTTTTCCAAACAGGATCTGTCCTTTCTCTCTTAAAAGACAGTAGACCTCTCTGAGGGACTATATTTAGAAGGCAAATCTTGTCCCTGCTGGCCAATAATGTAGAACACGATTTTGAAAATTGAGCCACTGCTGGGAGTTCTATTTTTCTATCTATGTTGGATAGCTTTCTCTATAAAAAGGGTTAATACAAACCCCTTGTCTGCTTTCACTTTTGTATGTTAGCCTGCCATTATGTCACTGTGTTTCAGAAGTAAAAAAGATTGTACAGGACAAGTGGAAGAGGGAAAAAGTCTCTTCCCTGTATAGTGTTTTAAATAGCATCTCCTCGGTAACAATTTCAAACGTACACACTGACACATGAGATGAGTTGGCTCTACACGATTATGTAAGAGTTTCATACCAGCTTTAGCCCATGTATTTTGCCTCTTCCTTTTCCATGGATTTACAGCATTTGACTTTTCCCATGCTCATTTTCTCCTCGTTTTTGGAAGCATCTACCAGAGGGCATGGATGTCAAAGTGTGACCCTGTGCCGAGTGTGCGGGAGAGGCAAGGTGTTTTGGCTGCCCAGGTGCTTTTAAGATGTTGAGGTCTCCCTGCGTGGCCGGGGCCCCTGTTCGGATCAGTAGCACTGAGGCTCCTTGTAGCCAAAGACATGGACCCCGACTCGGCTCCCCCACGCCCTCAGCCTGTTGGCCACTGGCCCCACGTCGCCCTGTAAAGGATGTCCCTCAGCAGAGCTCCGGCCCGGGACACCTCTGAGACCCCCAGCCCGAGAGAACGCATCCGCAGCCACATGAAGATGGTGATCAACCAGCTGGAAGGTATCCTCATAGAGCTCAAGGATGTGGCCAAGGAACTCCGGGAGGTGAGGTTTAAAGCCAGCTACACATATTAGGCTTTTGGCGGGGAGGGGAATTAGAGAACAACAGGGGGAGGAAAAGACGGAGGCAGGGAGAGAATGTGGGTGCCAGGTGGGTGTGCTACTCAAGAAGACTGCATTTAATTAAGTGTAAAATTCCTTTCGCAGCATGGAGATTTTGATTAAGATTTGAAAGTGATGAGATCTCACTTTTTATTTTTTTGTAGCAGGAGAATATTGTTGATTACAACCGCAGCAAGGCTGTCTTCCTTTTCCAATCAAACAATTGCTTATCGCCAATTACAAATGTCCTTCATGTGTTCAGTGGTGTCTTGTGGTAGGTACAGTAGATGTGAAGAGCTGTTGAAAAGCAGCAAAGCCAGTTTGAAAGGAAACACAGAGGCAGGCTTAGATAAGATACAAGACTTAGCGTCGCAATAGTTATATAACCATTTTGTTAAGGATCAGCTGGATTCCTACTGTATTTTTGCAACTGCCATGGTAACACTAGAAGATTTGTGTGTGTGTGTGTGTGTGTGTACAATACACAGATTGAACAAGGATCAACAAACATCTCTCTTTGTTGACTGTGTGTGAGCGCATGTGGTCTTACAAGCAAGCAAGTGTATGGATGAAAGAAAATGTGTGTCTGACAACTGACAATCAGAATACATCTGTTCATGTGTGTGACAGTACAAAATGGCCCTCATCATCTCTTCGGGATCTTCTCCGTGCAGTGTCCTAAAAAGCCGTGAGCTCTTCTTGCAAAGCTCCTCCAAAGAAAGAGATAAAGGCAAATAGAGAGACAGAGACAAATGAAACCTGAGCAAACAGTTGTGTCTGACCCATCCCACATCCTCCAAGCGCATCACATGATTAACCTCCCACCTGCTTCTGACCATGGATGCACAGGGAGTGTTTGTGTGTGTGTTTCTAAATGTGTTGAAGAAGTGAAATGGTGGATGTTAGTGCATGTAATGACCTGAAGGAGGAGGAGGGTTTTGAGCAGCCGGGGTAAAGCTGCCATAACTCACTCCATCACCGCACGCACACCTTACCGCCCCCCCTCGGCAAGCCCTCCCCCAAGTCTTGCTGACTCCCAGCTCTGTCCCACTCACCGAGCTCTACTTTATGTACTTGCACAGTTGGAGGTGCAAGGGCACATCTCACAGTGCACCTTCTCTCTGGTGAGCAGGAGAAGCAGGAGAAGCAGGAGAAGCAGGAGAAGCAGGAGAAGCCGGCCTGCGCGCGGGAGTGATTGATGATTATGGGACAACTGCAAGTGGAATAATGCTGGCTGGAGCTATTTATAAACAAAAACACGGCCTGTGCCTCTGCCAGCTCCAACGCATATTACCATTCTTATCCCAGACCCCATTAGAGAGGGCTCTGCACAGTGGCTCAAATGTCATTTTTTATTGGGAGAGCACAATCCCACATATTGAAATGGCTAAGGAATCATATTAGCTGCCGTGGCGGTCATAATGCTGGTATCAATATCCTGCAATTAACTGACCTGTGAGATTGCAGACTGTATCGAAGGGAGATGAAGAAACAGAATCAGTGTAGCGCCATCAGATGCATGGAAGCCTAATGTTCCATAAAATCTCTCATTCTTGGCCACATGAAAGGAACAACATAATAGATAACGACTGTCACATAAATAAATGATGAATTGCCGTGTGAATGTAGTAAAATAAATAACTCCGTGAAGGAGCAGTAATGACTGATTATCACCCACAAGGTCTTTGGGGAAATGGAGATACTGCAGTGCTCTGAGGAGGAGTTAAAGCTGACATTCCAAAGCACGTAGCTGCCTTGAAATAAAGAAGTTACTGGTCTGTTACTATACTGACTTCCCAGCACTGTTTTCATAGCTCAAGATCACATAGGTACAGTGTCATTGCACCAGTCTGACAGGAGCAGAATTTCAACCCCTCACTTAGTCACACTGCAACAGAATCTGCCATCTGTTCATTCAAACGTGAGTACATTGTATATTGCAGTGTTCATTAGACCATTTAGTCCATGCCTTTATATGAATTAATTTTCCAGTCAAGTTTCAGTTTGAGCAACAACCATTACAGAAATGTATGTTATGCCGATTTTATAATACTATAATTTCTATATTTCAAATGAGGATTTACAAAGTTTACCAGTTTTTAATTGAATACATATTTCAAGCCCCAAGGAAAAATTTAACAAGACCCAAGGGGAACTTCACGTCCACAAAAGGAGGTGACACAGAAAATTGCTGAAATAAAATGGATTATATAAAACTGTGGTTTATGAGTCCAGTAGAAGGCAACTGCAAGTACTAGTGCAGATTTGGATAAGTGTGACCCATCCCAAGTGACTTGTAGTTTCTTCAGCACAATATGGTATTAGATAACTCATGTTATAAAGCACCAATAACCAGCATTAATAAATATTGAACATATTAAATACCGATGTATAAAGTAAGAAAATAAGACACAGGGTGAAAATAACCAGAATTGTCCTTTTAGAAAGACCTTCACCTCCACTGATTCTACCCCAAAGTGGCTTGCTTTTCTCATAAAGGCACAGGAGTCTTAAGGAAAGGGTCACCCATGGGTCTTACTTTCTTGTCTGCCAGAATTCATCATCCTCATTGTCCATTCCCTGGAGAACAAGCGGTTACCTCACATCTTAAATACTAAAAGGAAAAAGAAGGAGAGTTTGGATAACTACAAACACTGTGCGCAGTCTAATCGAACCCTGCGGTGAATCTACCAATAAACTTAATCATTGTCATGTAAATGGAAGTGTTTCCTGCGCGGCAAGTGCATGGCAGTCAGAAATGTCTGTCTCTTAAACTATGCATTTACTGTATTATACTGAACAAATGTATGTACTGTTAGTATACATAAAGCTGTTTCATTAGATCATTTAAATTGAAGTATGTAAAGCATCGCAGTTGCATGCCTATGCTACAGTATAGTCGCACGCAGTAAATCTCCTTCACATGTCAAAGATAGATGTAACATAGAGCATGCATAGTTTTTTAAGATTGCTCTCTTCAAAAGCCTATTACAGTCAAATGCAGCCTGTCTTACTTGCGAATCCCATTACAGGCTTCATGACAGGTAAAATGAGAAGGATCTAAAGGAAGGACATTGGAAGGCAACACACTGATAAACTACACCATTTGTAATAATAATACTGGCAGGAGTGGCAACTCTAGAGGAAATAATTCATTTAGGTATCGTGTCAACCTTTGTCTTAGAAGTCTGAGGATAAAGAGGAAAAATAGCACCAAACGAAATGCAAAGCAACCTCTGAAATTCCTGATGCTGCGTTGTTCCTTTTGCTAAAACTGAATTTCACTGGGGGGAAAAAAAGGGAAACTAAGGAAATGCAACTGTAGGAGTGCACTCATGTTAGTTATTAGAAAGATACAGACTGGTAAATTGAAAGAATTTAATGAAGCACTATAAAAATAAAGAAAAAAAGACATGAGGCTGTGGCAGTGGCATGGACTTGGGGGGAGGGTTTGGCAGTGAGCTACACATCTTTATATGGAACTAAACAGGAATGATGGACGGTTATTATGTGGATGTAGTTATTATGCAGAATCGTACCATGAGCAGACGATGCTGCATGTCTGTGCTGGGCTCAAGACAAATGAACACAGGAAGGCAATCAGGACTTGTAGAATTAAAGCTCCAAATGAGAGGAGTGAATATAAGCTGGACAAAGAGCAATTATCCCTAGCAGAGTACAGCAGGTCCAGGACACTGGCCTCCATCAGTCAGCCTTGTGGTAGTTGTCTGTACATGCTCATCGTAATGCTGGAGACTGGCTTACTGTTTCTACTCAGCTGCAGGCCTGAAGACAGAGGAGGGAAGCAGCAGAAAAACACCAGTGTCAGGTGAAAACTGCATCCTACAAATGTCAGCTTTTTAAGAATGAAGTCCTGAGTAACAGCTTTAGTAATGAGACTGGCTACCATGCAGTTTTTTAACTATCTAATGGATTTTTTGAGTGTGTCATGAATGTTTTTGATCTACTGAAAATCACCTGTCATTAGCAGCAGCAGGACCATTAGCCTTTCAGGTTTTGTTCGTTTCTAGAACAAACAGTCAAACTTGTGCTCGACAAGCTTAGCCCACCACTAAATATGCAGGAGCACATCTCATTTAAAATTACTGTCACCCGTGGCATGATGGCAGGCACAGAGGCACAAATGGGGGGGGTCTATTCAATCTCTATTCAACACCCAATACCAGCCGCGTGATCCCAGCATGGCTGTCAAATCAAGGCCAATGGGATCATGCTAAAGTGGAGTCTGTAAAAGAAAACTGCTATGTAAATGATTTGATCAGAGAGGCTACCGTGTGGTGCTCTTTCATGTCGAAGGCATGCTTAAACGCTGCATTGTTAAAGCTTTTGGTACGGAGGGTGAGGTATCCAAAAGGCTGGCCCCCAGATCAGCCAGCCAGTGATGTTTACTTATCGAGACTGAAACCAGTTATGACACATCCACATCGAGGGGGGGGGGAACCACGGTCCCTCTCTCTGTTGAAGCTGCCACGCTCAGCACTGAACCAAATCTGTTCCAAACCCAGAGGCAGCCCAAGGGAGACCAAAACCAAAATCAAAGGGCCATTTTTTTCTGCAGGGGCCAGATCCTCACTCTGTGTTTCCCCCTGCTGATGCTGCTGCTGAGCAGGGCAGGGAGCAGAAAACTGCCTCGCAAGAATCCTTCAACATTGAGGGGGGACTCCAATAATCACTGACATTTTCTCTCAAGGAGTAGAACAATATAAAGGATGGCGGTAAACACAATCTCATTCCACAGTAGAGTTGTGTAATAGTTGATCCTATTACTGGGGAATATTTTGGGGAATGTTTAAGGGCATGAAAAACATATTAGGAAATTTGATGATTCCTGTGGGGAAAATGGGTCACTGCAGAGGCACGTAATACGATAGAAAAGAATATTTTTAAATGATTATTGAAAGTAATTACAGTAAGTTTCCAGA